TGTCCATCTGCCTCCCCCTCCGGGCTCCGGGGTGGCAGTCAGCACAGCCTGAGTGGCCAGCAGGTGCCCCGGTGGCTGGCTCTCTGGAGATTCTGTGTGAGTCCTACAGGAGCATCGCTCCCCGATCCTCACAGACCTGAGGAAATGGGGGTCACGTGTCATGCCTGCACCCCGGTTCCTCATTTAAATGCCCAGAGGATGGACATGTGAGTTATGAGGGCCACGATGGTCACGAAAATCAATTTCTCCGCCTGGAAATGTGTCGTCCTTGGGCTCTTCCGGAGACATCAGATGTGGAAAGCAGATTCATTCATGTCTTCCCACAGGGACCCACGCAGGTGCTCCGCCAGGCCTCCCCCCCCCCACCTTGTAGAGGCAAAGGCAGTGACCTCCATTCCCGGGGGGGAGGGGGGTCAAGCCCCAGAGACCTTCCTTGCGTAATGAGTCCGTGGGGACCCGGCCGGAACTGCAGCCTCGCTCGGTGCCTGACATGCACGCCCTGGAAGGGCCTTGTCTGAAGACGTAACCCTGGCCGCCGCCTGGACCCCGGCCTGGGAGTGATGTAAACAAGGGCAGGATGTTCCCAGGAGCAGGCAGGGTCAGACGCCCCGCGATGCTGCTTCCTCCGCGTCCCTTTCCTGGCTGCTCCTTCCCTGCCCCCTCCCCTGCCTGGGGTGTGTGTGTGTGAGCCTCCTCCCAGGGAGCAGGCTCCTGCCAGGCCCGCTGCCCTGGTCCTGGGCGCCCCTGTCTGCCCGCTTAGCTGGAGCCCCAGGCTGAGCTCCCAGCCCGGGGAGAGGTGAGCGTCAGCCCCCAGCTAGCCTCACTAGCCGGGCGAGTGTGCCCACCCTCTGAGCTCGGGCTCAGGCCCCCATGGAGGAAAGATCACGTGTGCTTGGAAGCTGGTTTGAGGAACGTTGGAACCAGATGGAGGCACCTAGCACACAATCCGCACCAGAGCTGTCTTTGGTGTCTGGTCATTTTCGGGGTGAACTGGCAGGCTGTGGGGCTGCCCTGCACCAGCGCACGCCCCACCGGATGTGACAAGTAGGTGGGGACAAAACAGATGATGGGTGAGCTCGGGGACAGCTGGACCACAGCGCAGGGGGTGTCTTGACTTCACTCTCAAGTTCCCTAGGTATTTGCATAGCCGCTGAGTCTGGCCTCCAGGTGGGGAGGGGAGGAGCTGCGGGGAGGGGTTTGTTGACCAGAGAGAGCCCTTAAATTAAGCAGGTTCTGGGGCCCTTTCTGGAGAAGGATCCCAGTAGAGGGTTTAGGATGCTGGTGTGGTCCCTGCTGCCTGCAGGTGGGAGGCGTGGCGGAGGGGGGAGGGCGGAGAGACTCTGAACCTAGGGGTGTGACCTGGACAGGGACAAGAGTGACAGGGTTTAGATGTGACTTAGCAGAAGGAGCTCGAGGCGCTGCAGTCTGTCCCTGGAAGGGCTGGGACCCTCCCTGCACCCTCCTGCCTTCCATGGCTCCTTCACTTGACCTCACCTAAGCCTGGCCAGGGAGGGTCTTTAAAGCTGAGCTTGTTTCTTTAAAGCTGAGCCCACACGCCTCTCACCCGTGGGCAGCGTGTCTGCTGTGTCTGCCGTGTGCCAGGACCAGCGCAGGTGCTGAGGGCACAGCAGGAAAGCCGGTGATGGTCTCTGTGTGCAAGTGACCTCCGCCAGCTGCCATGGCTCCCGCAGGGGGAATGAGGCCATCACCCCGCGGTGACACGGGAGTAAGACATGGAGCGACCATGCCTACGTGTAGAACACATGTGTCAAACACAAGGCCCGCGGGCCAAATCCGTCCCGCCAGGCCTTGCAACGTGGCCCGCACCGCGCTGTCATCACTGCACTCCGCTGCGTTTCCATCACAATGACAGTTTATGACTGTTCAGTAAACCATTCGGCCCGCGATTTAGGCTGGATTTTAGATTTTGGCCCCTTCTCTGATTGAATTCGACACCCTTAGTGTAGAAAGATGCTGCGCTGTGTTGAGGTGGTGAGGTGCAGGGCGCAGCGGGGCGGGGGCTGCGCTGTAGGGGATGGTTCAGGAAGTTCACGTGTGCAGAGACCGGAGAGAGCGGGAGTGAGCTGCACTGGCGTCTGGGAAGAGCATTTGGGATTAGGGCCTGAGGGGGGCCCTGTTCAAAGGCCCAGGAAAGCCCCAGGTCGGTCTGCGTGGTTGAGGAACAGTGAGAGGCTGGGATGGAGAGAGGGATGGTGGCTGAAGGCGAAGCTGAGATGCCGGCGGGTCCCTGTGGCCTCGGCAAAGGTGCTGGCCTTACTTGGTGCCTGTCCTCAGAGGAGCCCGGCACCAGGCTTGACCCCCGATTCCACTTAGTGCTCACTCCGCTGTGCCCCTCGCCCGCTGGCTTATTATCATTATTACTGTTCTTGCCACTGCGATGATTATTCCCACAGCCCCTCTGCTGCTGAGACCGTGAACTTGGAGGTGAGGAGTGTGGCTCCTGAGCGTGGCAGGAGCGTGTAAGGGTGACAGTGGGCGGAGGAAGCTGGGAGAGAGCCCACGAGTGCTTGCGGTTTGCCTTCCTTCCCCTCCACCCCTGCGTTTCACTGACTCCCCTCCAATCGCTGCCGGTACTGAGGCTGCTGGGGGTCAGTGCCTCCTGCCCTCCTGGAGGAGAAAAAGCAACGCGAGACGGGGTCTGTGCCTAGCCAGCACCACTCCAGTGAGCCCCTAGCCCCTTTCTGCTTTTCTAGCCGTTCGCTGTCTGGAGAGGAGGGGAAGGTGTGGACCGCAGGGCACCATGGCTCACAGGAAGCACATGTAGCAGGTCCGTTGCTCGGTGTCCTAGACCCCCCATGGCCATCCAGCTGAGCTCAGGCTGTCTTGTCTAGATAGATGCACAACAGTGAGAAGGTACTTCATGCTAATGACCCTTACACTTCACAATGGTAAAAGTGGGGAGTTTTGTGCAAATTGCACCACAATAAACAACTAAAATAAAAAAACGCGAGATGACCTTCTTCAGCAGGCCTCTGTGAGGCTGAGAAGCGTGGAGGTTGAGCGACTCCTCCACAGCCGCCCAGCAGGTGGAGAAGTCTGGCCCCCATCCCCACTCCTGGCTCGAACTCACACCATTGCTTGCTCATGGAGAGAAATGAGTCCAAGGCGGTAGTCACTCCTTGGTCTTTGAAACTGCTACGACCCAAATATGAGATCTTAGCCCGACCGGTGTGGCTCAGTGTGTGTGTGTCCAACTATGTATGACCTGTGAGGTCACGGCTCAATTCCCAGTCAGTGTACAGGCTGGGTTGTGGGCTCCATCCCCAGTGTGGGACGTGTAGGAGGCAGCAGATCAATGATTCTCTCTCATCATTGATGTTTCTCTCTCTCTCCCTCTCCCTTCCTCTCTGAAATCAATGCAAATATATTTAAAAAGAAAAAGCAAATATCGATAGGAGATCTTAGATTCAGCCGAGATTTTCTCGGACCTTTCCTGTGGAGCTCTCCCTGGGTGTGTTTGAGCCCCACCTCCTTTCTGGGGCTCTGTGAGCAGCGGTGGCCATCGCCCTAAGAGGCTAAGATGCACAGTAGGAGGAAGGCGAGAAGTAGCAGTGATGGTCCGGTGTCTGGGCTCTGACTGAGGACCTTGCCGTGTTTCCAAGCACTTTTCTCTTCTCTGTGCATGTGAGCCTCATGCACCTGTCAACAGGGACATGAAGGAACCACTTGATGTGACTGATACGGACCTTGTGGGACCTCGTTGGTGCTATTTATGAGGTTCTCACCCCAAATCCTGTCCCTCCTCCCTGTCCTATGTCACCTTCATAGCAAGCCATGATCAGGGTGATGGAATAGGGTTCGCCAAGTTTATGGGGCCTGGGAACCACTGGAACTCTGTGGGTGTGGCAGTGTTCTGGGCTGGGAGAGTAGGAGGAGGATTATGGTTTTAAGCACTGACAGGTAGTAATTCTCCATTTTCCCCTTGAAGAATTGCAAGGTGGGGAGATGGGGATCCTCAGGAGGCCTCTTGGCTGAACATAGAACACTAGGCTGGGAGCTTATGGTACTGGGTCGGGGACAGTCCTCAGTCTTGAGCAAGTCACTTCACATCCTGGTCCTTGATCCCTTCACTGGAAATTATGTATAGCTAATGACAAGAATTCAACCCAAAGTGTTTACTGAGCACTTACATTATTTTATACCCAGTGATGATATCAGGCCCACTGTACTGGTAGAAAGGCTTAGATTCCAAGAATTTCATGAAATTTCTCTATCTCTGTTCTTACCCAGTGCACTCGTCAGAGTCCTCCATTTGTGTCAGCCAGCACTATGGTCCTCACAGGGCAGGGGGACGATTGGGGAACAGTGTGACAAGTTTGAGAAGGATCTTGGGCTCATGCTATTATTCACGCACCCACAGCCATGCACGTAAGCACACACGCATGCATACACGTGCAACATGGTTGACTTAGGGAGACATGAGGTCAGGCCTTTTGTTTCCCAGCTAAAAGGCTCTGAGCACATTACTCAAAACCTGAGCCTCCATGTCTTACCTGTAAGGTAGGATCGCACTATCTCCCATGTCTAACCAAAGCATTATGTGAGGCCAGAGGGCACTTGAGTAACGTGAGAGGACCTTGCAGACGGTGGGTGCCAGGTTTACCAGGTGGACAGAGCCTCTCTCAGCTTCCCAGTTGGTGCGATCTGAGTTCAGATCTTGGGAATCCCCGTCATTACTCAGATGTGACTTAATGTCTTGTTCCCTCAGCACTAAGACGAGGCAGTGCTGTCATTTGTGACCTGTTTCCTTGCCAAAGGGGGGAGTCCCCCAATAGGTTGTAAGCTTCATGCAAAGTCCTAGTCAGTCTTGTTCACTCTTGTGTCCCCAGCTCTGGAGGAGGGTCGGGCACCGAGAAGGTGCTCAGGAAGTCATGTTGAAGGCTGGTGAGTGGGTGGAGGATGGGCACCCAGCAGGAGCTGTGCTGTAATGATGTGTGGGAGCACCCTCAGGAGCTCACGTGTCCCTCCTTCCCTTGCAGGACCCGGGTCAAGCTGGAAAGCCTGGAAGACGCCTACATCCTGCGGGGAGATGATGACTCGCTCTCCGACAAGCACGGCTGCCCGGCCTACGTGAGCCCGGAGATCCTGAACACCAGCGGCAGCTACTCGGGCAAGGCCGCCGACGTGTGGAGCCTGGGCGTGATGCTGTACACCATGCTGGTGGGGCGCTACCCTTTCCATGACATTGAGCCCAGCTCCCTCTTCAGCAAGATCCGGCGCGGCCAGTTCAACATTCCAGAGACGCTGTCGCCCAAGGCCAAGTGCCTCATCCGGAGCATCCTGCGGCGGGAGCCTTCCGAGCGGCTCACCTCGCAGGAGATTCTGGACCATCCTTGGTTTTCCACAGATTTCAGCGTCTCCAGTTCGGGATATGGTGCTAAGGAGGTGTCTGACCAGCTGGTGCCGGATGTCAACATGGAGGAGAACTTGGACCCTTTCTTTAACTGAGCTCGTGCCCCGCAGAGACTGGGCTGGTACCGGAGCGGCAGAGGGCAGCAAAGAAGGGACTTCTTCCAGGGCCCATGGGTCACCTGGCTCCGTAGCAGGAATGGCACTGACTCACAGGTTTCTTGGTTCAAAGAAGGAAAACCTTCAAGGAGCTAACTGAACATGTAGCATGGGGGCGAGAGGTGTGTGGTGGGGTCAGGCTCTGGGGCCGGGGCAGGGGTGGGGGGAAGCCCCCTTCCGTGTCTCCTCCCTGTTGGAGCCCCGAGACCACCCCTCCTCAGTTGGCTCCGTCTACGCCCACTTTTCATTTTGTTCAAAACTAGTTGCAGATCCTGACAGAATCGAAACTCTCTGCCTCAAACCCACATCTCGGCATCGCACTGTTAGCATCTAACTTCTTGTCATGATTCAGGGAAGGTACAATCGGCCAAGGGTTTCCCTTTTTTTTTTTTTCCCCTTTTCTTTTTTCCTTTCGAAACAAGCCAACCACCTATCTGACAATTACACGGTCACTTACAGAAAATTCGGTGCACACAGACTGACGTGAAACCTGGGTGCTACGCTAAAAGAAAGTCCAGTTTGTGTCTCTTCATCGCGCTCTCAACTCATTCCTTCGAACTCAAGTTTTTACTATCCCAGTCAGGAAGTGACGTGTTCATTCTTGGCTCCCTGAAAAGGGGAGGGGCCCGGCCTCTAATAAGCTATTCTGTTTCGTGTCCATTGGTTTGTGGCAGGAAGCTCTTAGACGTCAAACTTCCAGAGCATCACTGCCCTCCTGGTTTCAAGAAAGAAAGATGAAAGGAGAAAGGCCTTTGCCTCCTTCATCTTTTTTTTTTTCCTCTTGAATGACCAGGGCTGCCCAGAAGGCACCCCGCTGGGCGGAGATGGCAGTGAGAGAGCGGGAAGCTTGGCCTCGGAAGCTTCTGGAAGCTTCTACAACCCGGGGCTCTCTTTTTCGTCTTTGATTGGAGGTGAGCGGAGCAAAGCAGGTTGTGCCCCAGGTGTGACACACAGGGCAGCTCTCCCGTGTTCTTCGGGAAGAATGGCCCTCCTGCCTGCGAAGGCCCTCTGGTCTGGACAGAAACCCTCGGTAGAGATAAGCGGGAAAGACAATAAGCTGATAAGCGAGGATGATATAAATAAAAACAGCTTCTACCCACACACGCACCTTTATATCTTTGAGAACTCTTCTATTTATTAAGGAAAATGTCACATCGTGATGTATTAAGCCAGTACTTCAATTACGGGTTGACTTGGGATGACATGCTACATGCTGTCGTTAACATTTATATATATATATACACACACATATATATATTTTTTTCTTTTTTTTTTTTTTACTGTTTGAGTATTTCTGTTGCCGAAATAACCTTTCCTTTGGCTTTTCTAGCTAGCTCTATTTGATTTTGAGTGGCCAATGTTTTTTTTTTTTTTATTAACGACTTTTCTATCGCTGTATGATACAGAACTCTTTGGGCATAAATACTTGTGTTTCCAGTACCTCAGTTGTTTGGATCTTACTGCCTGTATCCATTTTTGTGAACTGGTCCTGTTTTTGGGTAGGTGACACGTGGACTCTTAGTATGTAAATGTTACTTGAATCTGTGCTCCATTATCGTATGTGGCATGTATGTGCGGACCGTGGATGCTTCACGCCTGCCCAACAGGAGCCCGGCCAGCCGCTTCCCGAGAGGGCGGCGCCCCCGTTTGTGTGCGGAGACAAGGCGGCCACGGACGTGCCCTGGCTTCTATGTTGATGACAGAAGATGGAGAGGAGAGAGGTGTCTCACACTCTGAGGATGGTGCTGTGGTGAGGAGGAGGACCTGCCTCCTTCCCTCCCCCTGTATTTTTGAAGGACCCGGGAGGAGGAGAGATGGGTGACGTGCATGGTGGGAATCTGTGGCCTCTGGTGCTTTGTCCTGTATTTGGTTTCATGTTTTTGTCCTAATCCCTTCAATCAATAAAATTGTGCGTATTTAACTAAAAGTCCGAGGTCTGGCAAAGGTGACTTCCTGATTTGGAGGTTTGTGGCTGCTGTGCACCAGCTGGGAACTCACATGTTCTCCAGGGTCTTCTCTCGTTCCCAAGCAGCCATCCCTGCTGCTCAGACAAGGCCAAGGCTGCATTCCCTCATGACTGGCGTGCTCTGGCCGCTCAGGAGTAACGGCTCCCTGACTTGTCTCTCTCCCTGAGTGAGTGGTCACCCCTGCCTTTGGAGGTGTGAGTTGTGTTCTTATTTCAGACTACAGTCCTGGTGCACAAAATTCGTGCACAGGGATGGGGTGGAGTGTGTCCTTTAGCCCAGCCTGCACCCTCTGCAATCTGGAGCCCCTCAATGTATGTCCGATTGCCCGTTTAGGAAATGGGCAGTCGGACATCCCTCTCAGAATCCAGGACTGCTGGCTCCCAATCGTTTGCCTGCCTGCCTGATTGCCCCTAACTGCTGCTTCCTGCCAGGCTGATCACCCCCTAACCACTCCCTTGCCAGCTTAACTGCTCCCCTGATGGCCCGATTGCCCCTCCCCTGATGGCCTGGACACCCCTAACTGCCCTCCCATGCCAGACTGGTTACCCCTGTCCTCCCCTGCAGGCCTGGTCACCCCCAACTGCCCTCCCCTTCAGGCCTGGGTCCCTCCCAACTGTTCTCCCCTGCAGGCCTGGGTCCCCCACACCCCAACTGCCCTCCCTGCTGTCCTGGTCCCCTACAACAGTCCTCCCCTGCAGGTCTGATCTCTCCTAACCTGCCCTCCTCTGCTGGCCCAGTCACCCCTAACTGCCCTCCATGCTGGCCTGATTGCCCACAACTGCCTTCGCCAGCAGACCTAGCCTAACCCCCCATTCCCCCCAACAATAACAACTGCCATACCCTGCAGGCCTGGTTTCCCCCCAGCTGCCCTCTCCTGTAGGCCTGCCCCCCCCCCCTACTGTCCTCCTCAGCAGGCCTGGTCTGCCCCAACTGCCCTCCTCTGCTGGCCTGATCGCCCACAACCACCCTCCTCTGTAGGCCTAGATCCCCCCAACTTCCCTCCCTTGGTGGCCTCGTTTGCCCCAACTGCCCTCCTCTGCTGGCCTGTTCATCCCTAACTGCCTACAACTGCCCTCCCCTGCAGGCCATCTTATGGAGGCCATCTTGTTTCCACATGAGGGCAGCCATCTTTGACCACAAGGGGTGGCCATGCTGTGTCTTGGAGTGATGGTCAATTGCATATCACACTTTTTTTTAAAATATCCATTTTATTGATTTTTTTACAGAGAGGAAGAGAGAGGGATAGAGAGTTAGAAACATCGATGAGAGAGAAACATCCATCAGCTGCCTCTTACACACCCCCTACAGGGAATGTGCCCGCAACCAAGGTACATGCCTTTGACTGGAATCGAACCCGGGACCTTTCAGTCTGTAGGCCTATGCTCTATCCACTGAGCCAAACCGGTTTTGGCACTTTTATTTATTTATTTTTATTTTTTATTTTTTAAAAATATAATTTATTGATTTTTTCACAGAGAGGAAGGGAGAGGGATAGATAGCTAGAAACATCGATGAGAGAGAATCATCGACCAGCAACCAATGTACATGCCCTTGACCAGAATCGAACCTGGGACCTTTCAGTCCGCAGACCGACGCTCTATCCACTGAGCCACACCTGTTTCGCCTTGGCAATTTTATTAGATAGGATTAGGAGCGGAGCCTGGGAGGCACATGATTTCCCCAAGATAAACGCCCTGTGAGGATCGAGTCAGGCACGGACTCCACAGCCTGATGAGTCCCAAAGCCTGGTACTATTTCTGAGTCCAGCTCTCGGGGTTAGTCTAATAAAAGTCCTGGGGTGGCCCGCCTTCCCCAGGGCCCAGTGATCCAGGATTCAGCATCTACTGGAGCCTGATTGGAAACCTCCCTGGAGATCATCCCCCTCCAGAAACGAGCGTCTCAGTCAGCCACAGAGAATCAGGAGGGTGGTTTCCACGGGCAACCCCATCCATCGTGCCCCTCATTGAAAAGGAGTGACGGCAGCCCAGCGAGGGCCCACTCACTGGCCCTGAGACGTTAACAAGTGCCTCCTGGGTCATGTCAGTGCAGGACATGGACAGGCCATAGGCAGGCAGGATGGTGGGTGGCGCAGGCCCATGGGTTCATGCCAGCCTCTAAAATGGGCTCCCGCCTGTCCAAGACTGCCCGGGTCCTGGAGGAGGAGACACTGCCTCAGAGTCCAGAGAGAATGGCCGGGAGGGAAGGAAGAGAAACGGCGGTGCTGCTCTCATCAGAGACAAGCGTGTGTGGGAAGTCACACACAAACTAGCCCAGGTGCATACCATGGACACCAAGCTGTGGGTTAGCTTCCTTCACACTCCATGCAAAGACAGCGCGCAGTGCAGAGGGCCGTGGCTTTCTGGCCGATTAGCCCGGGCCTCTCAATCCGCACAGCGCTTGTTGTCCGGTGCCATCACTCTGCATCCCCGGCATCAGGTTCCGGCAAGCCTCCCCTGCCTGGCACGTGGGAGGTTTGCAGGAACAAGTGCTAATTGTGGGGCCATTTGTGCTGGGGGACTCTGTGCTGCTAATGTTCCTTCCGAGCCCAGGTTTCTAAGGGGCACATCATTAGAACACGGCCTCTGCCAGTTCTGAAGCCCACCGGTGGCTTTTGTTCGGGCACAGATAGGCCGATCCAATTTCCTTGCTCTTTCCCTGCCTGGGATTAAGCAGGAGCGGGCCTGCTGCCTAATGAGGGCCGGTGTGAATTGTGTGCTCTGTCAAACCTTCGCACGTGTGGCTGCTGCGGAGGGAGCTGTGGGCACACACTCACAGCCTCTGCTTAATGAGCTTCCTTCCACCTTGGTGGGGACCCAGAACCGGAAGGATCCCTCCCCCTGAGTGTCTCCAGGCTTAGCCAGCCTGCCACCTGTTATTCGCTAATCCCTTCGGGGCTAGGACCTCACCCCCTCGGAACTTAATATGGACCTGGGGCAGGGGGAAGTGTCTGGGCCCCTGGAAAGCCGAGTGGGTTTGGGGAAGGGCTCTGAATCCTTGTTTTCATCTTAGCTGTAGCTGAGCAGATCACGTAATATCGGTGAGGGCCACAGCTGTTGAGAGAATTAACTGAGTTAGGGAGAGCCAATGGCTTAAACCTGTGCCAGGCTGGATGAGTGATGGTTACTACAATCAGCCAGAGGCACAATAGGGTGGAGTTCTTTTGACTGTGGATGGCACTGGAGTTGAGACTTGATAGCGTGGAGAGGGGCAGGGATAAGGTGACCAGGTGTCCTGCTTTTGGCGGGACAGTCCCGATTTTTAACAATTTGTCCCGCGTCCCGAGGCGTTTTAAAAAAGTCCAAAAGATTTAAAAGATTCTTTCCAAAAATCGGGACTTTTTTAAAACGCCACGGGACGCGGGACAAATTGTTAAAAATCGGACATCTGGTCACCTTAGGCAGGGACCCACTGAGACCCCTCGCTGCCACATCCAAAGCAGCTGTGCTTTCCGTCTCATCTGGGTAGTTCTGGTGTGGACTTACAGAGAGGAAGACGAAAGTAGGCTGCGAGGTGTGTTTGAAAGCTATCGGTCAAGTCCAACCCTTCAAGAGTTGACAAAGCAACTTTGAAAAAGCAACCAAGGTCCAGAGAAACCAAGGGCATCAGGAGTTGCCATGTCACTTGGACATGGGCTTGGCCCCCTGGAGAAGAGCAGGAACTCAGCTCCAAAGCTGAGCTGGGCTTGCAAGAGAGAACAGCGGGAGCTGCCAACCAGCCACCCTCCAGGACTGCTTTCCTGCGGGGGGTTCTCAGAGGCAGCTTCCTGGGTGCCCTGCCTTGACCCACACCATCTGGGAGGTTGATCAAGCAGATGACTCTTATGAAAATGTAAATTCCAGCCCAAAGATGTGGTTTCTCAATTGAAACACATCCTGATTGCGTCTGCGTGAGGTATGGCTCAGGCTCTGCAGGCAGCTTATTAGCTTGTGGGAGAGCCACGAGTCGAAGGTATTTCATTTTCAGTGCCAATGGTGCTCCCCGGTCTCAGATTGTTCCTTATTAAAAAGAAATGAATTGGGACTTCAAAGGAAGTACACATCCTCCCTGGAACAAGCCGGCCCGTAGGAAGGAGAAACAATGGGGTGACATCCTTAGGCCAGTTTCTCCTTTGCTGGGAAGGCAGTGAGATCTGCGGGGCTTGGCAGGAAAACAGAGCTCCAAGTCCCCCTGCCCCCATGGTCCCCGGCTGTGAGTCCCAGGCCTGGGGCCCAAGAGGAAGCTGGGAAGGGGGCCCAGGAGCACTTCCTTGGGAGGGGTCTGGAAGGGATACAGGAGGAGGAGGAGACCTGAGCATTGCTGATATGTATCTTTTGCCGCCTGCACCACTGTTCTCACAGTGCCCTGGGAAGCAATGACAGGAGATGAAGAGATTGGCCATGCAAGGCCAGATCTTGGGCACTGATTAACATATTTTCTCAAGAAAAGGGGCTTGGGCCAAGGCGGAGGACCATTAAGGTCTAGTAAAATGTTTACCTCGCTAGACCAGACTTAGGGCATGAAAAGGAACTAAAAAAGATAAACTCCTTAGTTGTCATAGAAATGAACATGTATCTTAAGCTTAAGTTAGGGTCAGGGTTAGGTTTAGGGTTAGAGTTAGGGTCAGAGCTAGGGCTAGGTTTAGGACTAGGGTTAGGGTTGGGTCTAGGGTTAAAGTTTAGGTTAGTGTTATAGTTATAGTGCTAGGACTTGTTTAGGGTTAAGTTTAGGGCTAGGGTAGGGTTAGGGCGAGGTTTAGGGTTAGGGATAGAGCTAGGGCTAGGGTTAGTGTTAAGGTTAAGGCTAGGGCTAGGGACAGGATTTGAGTTAGGATTAGGTTTAGCATTAGGTCTAGGGTAGGGTTAGTGTTAGGGGTATGGTTAAGGCACAGGAGCTCAACCTCTCAGCAGGGGGGCTCAGAGTTTGCCCAGCACGAGGGATGGTGTTGAAGAGATTGAAGGCTGTAACTGTTTTTGAGGGAGCT